CTGGATTATTTTATACTGATCACACTGAGCCAGCACAAGCATATGATGTTGAGAAAAAGTTTAGTTTCATTCAGATTCATGGAATGAATGAAGACGTATTTTTTTTACTGAAATAATGACACTTTAAAGTGACTCTATACTACAACTACCATATGGGAATCCCTTAGGGCAGTATGCTGGATTTCCCTATATGAAAGCACTAGAAGTAGAACTATTCTGAGCTAGGAATTAGACACTGTGCTATTATTGTGACCGGTTGTGTCAATTTCAACAGATAAACAAACAAAAATATAGAACCAGATTTATTCTTTGTGTGGGTTTTTTAATCACTACTCCCTAGTGCAAAGTGAACTGGTATCCCAGTAATATATTTGAGGCATATGTGAGTATCATCTGTAAATCTAAACCATAATATTCTACAAAGACATTAAAGGAATATTGTAGGTGGGAAATTAAGAGTAAAGATAATGCTATAACCACACTATTGAGTAAATGAGGCACACAATGTCTATATGGCAATATTACAATTTATTGGAATGATGGGGCAGACATTCATTAGTGAACATTATAGACAGATATTAAGGACCTATAAAGCTACTATGGATACAGTATTTTTGAGCATACACTGTATAGTCACTCTATAATCTAAGTTGTTCATATAATTGTCGCCATCACATGTAAGCCTATAAATACAGTATTTAATGTAATATATGCACATTGCACATTGTACAAAACTTATAAGCTTCTGGCTGCTTGGTTAAGCCCTGTTCAAGGCCTAAATCTAAAATGGATCTCCAACTCAATCCATGTGCTCAGCCTGAATGACTGACTGTTTAAATTTAGTAGTAGCCTACAACCTGAAGTTAACAAGTTAATGTAAAACATTTGCAAGGTAGTGCTTTAATTCATGCTTTGATCCGCTGTCATAACCCAGTTTAATAAGTTGCAGTCCATTGACTATTAATTTGTTTCCAAATGGTGTGAGCAGGAGGAACGGTTCCAAAATGCTTTACTTTGCCACTAATGCAAATCAAAGTTAGGCTATCTATTTAATATGCATGATTGGTTGGTGTAATGTAATTAAAATCATACTATTTAAATTATCCTAACAGTGAAAAAATTAAACTTTAAATGCATTTTCAAAGTACACTTGCTTCTGCTGCTAAGAACAATTAATTTTAGAAACTAATTCATTTATTGGATTAAGCTTCACTGTTCTTTAAACACTGCAAGATTTATTGGACCTTTATTTCACCCTAATGGGACATGAGTTTGAAAGAGCATATTTGGAGATTGAATGTGTTGCACAGTTAGTTTTTTAGGTTACCCACAGATTTAAGTTTGAACCCGCTGAGGAACATTTCTGATTAACAACAACAGCTATTTATATTCCCAACAGAAAAGAATAATTGCTTTGTAATATGATAGGATAATAGTCACTTTTATGAATTACACTGAGACTTTTTCCTATATGCTCTGATATTTAGTTTCATCATTCTGACACAATATATTGTAGCTTATATATTTGGCTTCAGCTGACCTGTAGATTTTCTTGATCATATTGAAAAGCTGTAAATCACTCCACTCCACTCTATTAGATTTGCAGCAGCAGTTTCTGCTCATGAAACTACAGATGTGAAATTCTGGTGAGCAACAAAATCTGCAAGCATTTTGGTAAAGGTCTCCCTTTCAAGAACTGTTCAACAAAATGAGAGCTGGTTTGCCAAGGAAGTCAAGAAATCTTGAATCTGTGTGTGTGTGTCTCTCTCTCTCTCTCTCTCTCCCTCCACACACACACACACACACACACACACAGCTGGTTTTATCCTGAGCGCATGCTTCTTTTCCTCTTCCTTTCAATCTGTTTGTCCTTAGATCTGCAGGGAGCATGCACAGATAGATAGAGAGATAGAGAGATAGACACACACACACACAAGCTACCAAAAGCATCTATGGGTCATTAATTGTGTTTTCTTTTTAAATCCTCATTCGTCACCGTAATTAACCGATGTTAATCAGCAAGGGCTTCCTTAAAATTGATTCCATGTGTGATAAGAGATGTGTTTTTTTTTTCTGTCACCGGGCGTTATGGAAAATATCCAAATGTGTAATTTGAAGTGCCTCTGTTTGAAGCCTTTGATCTCGCCTGTTTTGCAGAGCCTCGGTTCATCATTTGCGACGTGTCACTGGTGCCCTGTGTATTGCATAAGGAACTACTGTTGAGCGATAGGCCGTGTATGTTTGCTTATGAGAATGTGAAATTGTGTCATCTGCATAATTACCGTCAAAGAGCTCTCTACAAAACAGCCCTCAAGTCACTCGTGTATGATTGCCCTCTTTTTACAGCACTACAAATTAAATTGGCTCCAGCGGGATCCCTTCAGCACTCTTCCACAAGAATTAAGAAACTAATTTAAAGTAGGTAATAATATAATAATAATATATAATAATAATCATAATAATAATAATAATAAGTAGGATTTGTGGCAAGTCAATACAATGCCAAAATAATTTATTTGCGTCTGAAGTTCTCTTGGTGTTTACTGTGTTTAATTTTGGCCTATTCCGGCGTGTGTGTGTATGTGTGTGTGTGTGTAGTGTGTTACGGAAGTCAAGCAGAGGTTAGTTTTACTGTTTACTGAGACTCTCTTTAGGAGAGAGGGGAGGGCGCGTCTTAATGCTTTTTGGCTACGCAGTTTCCCGGGTCGGTGTGAAAGTGTTAGTTAGTGCGTGGTGCGTTTGATTGGAGGCAATAAATCAGACACAGACGCTTGGCGTGGGTGGAGTTGGGGGATCAGGGTGGGGGGCCGAGCACGGTCCCGGGATGAGACACGTGTCCATCCGGAATCGGAGCGGCTGCTTAGCGGACACCAGCAGTCAGACACCTCGCTGGCTCTCAGATTTATACTCTCACTTCTAACGTTTACTACGGCCCAGCCACGTTGTCTCTCTATCTCTCTCTCTCCATTTCTCTCTCTTGCTCTCTCTCCCCCACCCCCCCCCCTCTCTCTCTCTCTCTCTCTCACACACACACACACACACACTATTTCTCTCTTCTCTCTCAGCTCTTTGCAGTGTGATGTTTGTTTCTTTCCTTCTTAAACGTCTCTTTCTTCTTTACACTTATTATGCTTCTGTGTATCGAAATGTCAAATACCATCCACTTATCTTTAACCACCCTTCACTTCACTGTCTGGACCCTCTCAATTTGCAGGTCGATCTTATGAGTGTGTGTGTGTGTGTGCTATTGACTGCTATGTAGTGATTACCATTCCGGTCGGATGGCACCAGCAAGCCGCTGTAATTAATAACCCCATAATCCGGGTTGGGGTGGATGTCGGAGAGGAACACACACAGATTCAGGACAGAGTTTTACAGAAACAAGGCGTATCCTTATGGGTAGCTCTATATAAGAAATTATAGCTGCTATTATCCCTCCCAGACAATGATAACTATCTGCTTCAAAAGAAGATTAAAGGTTTATACAAGTTCAGAGTTCTTGGAAACCCGGATCGCATTATCAAAACTTAACTGAGATTGATGGGATTTCATCTCGCTGTCAATAATACATTAAGACTTATACCATATTCAAATAGTGCGTGAAATAATAATTCAGCCTCTGCAGTTGTTTTGTAAACGATTAACAAAACAGATGCTGGTACAAAATCGGGTTGAAATGCGATTAAGGTTGTCCCGTACACACTTTTATGTATTGATTCATGGAATTTCAATTCTGACTTCCTTGTTTTCTTTTAATCCCTATTATTTACAAGAAACATCAGGTTGCATCAAAATTATTAAATAGATTTCTGAAGGTGCAGACTGTCCGGATGATCGTTTTGTTTTTTAGTGGATTAAGAGCCTCTTTTTTTTTAAATCACTAAATTATTTTTTAACTTATTTACGCTGTTTTCTTGTTGTTGTTATTCTTATTAATAGTAATATAATAGTTGTTGTTAATAATAATAATAATTTTTGTGTATTTTTTATATTACCACTACTATAATATTTGAAGCTATATACTGTTTTTCCTTTTTCTTTTTCCTCGTTTATTGAAAGCAGAATGTTGTTTCCGAGAATAAACATCTCCCCAGCCCAATCCACTAAAGTGTTTATTACTTATCATTGCTGGTACTTTACACTTAGTCTTCATTAACAGTGTAATGCGCCTATCATCAGCTGTCTCTTTGATGTCAAGTGGGTACATGCGACCCGTTTGATGTCTCAAATTAAAGAATGAAATGACTCCGATTCGCCTGCCACCAAGAGCCCATAACACCTCAGAACCGGTGTAAGAAAACACAGCTTGCGCCCAATGATGTAGCGATAAATAAAAACGTGTGTATAACCTGTGATCCGGGGTCATTACAAGGCATGACCACAGTCCTTAGTTACAAACACATTCATTATTAATTATGTTCCGGTTTCCTGCATGTGATATAGCCTACCTGTGTCTGATACTGTCAATTAAGTTTTTTTTAAAATACATATAGATGTATGTCCATTAGAAAAGGTGTGTGTAAACTATTTTCCATTGATAAAAAAAGGAGAAAAACTGACTTTATATGATCTTTAACTTAACATTTACCTCCCGATTTTACTTTTTTAACCGATTTCCTCTTGTAGGCGAGTCTGCTTGGATAAAATAAGTTTCTTCTGTATTTGAGTATTAAAATCAAACTGCAGCCAAAAAGAAAAAAAAAAAAGTTCATCAGTCACTGACACCGAAATGCTTACTGTTGCGCAGATGGCCAAAATTGTGAATTAACACCAAAAATGGTGGTAGGACAGACGCGAACAAATAACAAATGAAATAGATTTGCGAGCCATAAAATGAGATTTGAAATCCCCATTCAAATAAGAGCTCGCGACGTCAGTGCACTTATCGGAGAGCGAGAGAGAGAGAGAGAG